AGGATAAAGATGGTGGGATTGATGGATCAGATTCAAGAAGGCTTGTCTAAGCGCTTGTGGACTGAACAAGGATGCTGTGCTGGCGCTGCTGTTGAAGATGAGATGCTGAGCGAGGCACGTCGTCAAGGTCCTTTATGCTGATGGAATAAGAGGCAGTGAAAATCAACACAGTGCTGCGGCAACAAGGGACGGAGGAAAGGACGGTGGTATCAGTCAATCGAGTCAATGAAGATGGGATTTTGAGTTTCCAACACTTCGAGTTGCTTGATTGGTTGTTTGAAGACAAGAGCTTATTGAATCGCTCGTTTGAATGACAATCGATCGCGATCTTGACCTCTCGTACGGCGATTGTTGCTCCGTACGATCCGTACGTGGTCGTACAAACGACAAACTGCAAGCCAGTTCGCTGCAAGCCACACAACGACCAATGCCGGTCCTGGGTAAGCAGAGACCATGCCGTGATCAACAACAACAACACGGAGACGACCACAACACGGAACGAAGTCCTCGCGATCGCTCGTGTTGTTGGTGTTGAGTTAATGAAAAAGTAGGAGTTTTCTTCGAAGATATAAGGCAAGCATGACTCAGCAGTATTCGAACCCCGAAGCATGATCAAGGCATGACCACAAGCCGAGCCTTATGTATGCATTCGAGCTCATTTTTCGATGAATTTTGCTGCTGTTAACTCGGCCGATCGATCCTCGACTGCTGTTAATCGGCCGATCCGGTCGCATCCGTGTGAAGATTGTTCGTGGTACCGGTGATAGAGATAGCAGTAGCAGTAGCAGTGGCTCCTGTGACCGAGATAATAGGATCCTCATTGAGATTACGATCGTCAATAGGATTAAGAAAGGTGGACTCCCATAGGAGTCCATATATAGGATCCTCATCGCAATTTCGATTGACGACAGGATGGTCCACATTGAGATTACGATCGTCAATAGGAGTAAGAACAAGGGGATTGCTTACGAGCGAATCCAAGGGGATTGAGTTGCAATAATGGGAAGGACTACCGATGAAGAGTGCAAGAGGAAACTCTGGAGCAATCTGCATAAAGGAGTAGCGCAGTCCATTGACAACCATAAGGGATAGACATATAAGAATAAGAATGAGTAACATCTCATAACCTCGCATGCTACCATGCGACAATACCATTGTGCATTGACTAATCTAAGGATCTAAGAGATGTAAAGTTTGTATTTCCAAATAAGTGAGCAGTTATTGATTATTTTCTAGAATAAGCCTGCTAATTGTAAAGCTGTAAAGCTGAATTGTAAGCTGTATCCCGTCGCAATGATTAACTTTACAGCACCATTGTCCCCTCAAGAGAAGAAGCGACGAACTCTGACGGATGATCTGGCCCGTGCAAGGCGAGATTTGAACGGAGCAAGAGACCGTGCGAGTGGAGATGTCAACTTTGCTCAGATCTTCAAACGCAAGTCCAACCGGAATAACTTGGGTCAGCCATTCAAGGGCATTGGTAAGCAAAAGATTCTTGCAATGATTGGTGCTGGCATCTCTACTGCGAGAGAAATGATTGCGTTTAATGACTACACAGGACATCCTGACGTGCTACCACAGTGGCGAGATGTCTTTGTCGAATACTTCGACAAGCTGCAAGAGAATGTAATGGTCTTGGAAGCCAAGGTAGAGTCCATTCAGAGTGAGCTTGAAGTGTTCCAGATTGCTGAGGCAATGTTTCGCATTGAGGAGGAGGTTGATCTGGAAGACAATTCAGACATGAACGTCACTACGGAGGCCACAGAAGAGGAGAAGCCTCCGGTGTTTTCTGGCATTTTAGATCCATGTGGTTGGAATCTTCGGTGTGTTTCGAAATCAACCATTGATCGTGTCATGGCCACCAATGCAGCTCATCGAAAGGAAGTCCAAATGGCCAAGATGCAGAACATTCCGGCTTCCGTGCTCAAGATCGATTGGAGCTACAAGCTTGCACCAAAGATCAAGGTTTACACGGGACGTGGCCAATCGTTCGCCCCATTCAAGTCATCCGTGAATGTGCACAATGAGAATGCAATGTGCATGTTTTGGAAGTGCTACCCCACAGCAGAATCGTACGGACCCAAGGGAATGGGACCTGATCTCAAGCGAATGAAGGAGCGATTGGACCATTTGGGTTGCAAAGTCAAGCTTGTCTATGTGGACAATTGCTGCAGCGTTCGTAACATGCTGACTGGTCCCGAAGGTATCTTTCCTGAAGCACTGATTAAGCTAGATGGCTGGCACTGGATGGAAAGGTGGAAGCCTGCCTTGAATGACGCAAAGAGTACGGAAGCTATGGTTTTCTGGCACTTGATTCGGGCGAGCGCAGTACTTCACAGAAGATGGCGAAATCGAACGTGCTCTGAAAAAGCTTCAGAAGAAGTACCCGCTGGGTGAACGTCCACCAATGAAGGAAGTTATGAAAGAGGCCAATGCTATTATCCCTCCAGCTGGCGAACTCACACAGAGGGTGGAAGCAGTGATCCAATATGTCTTGCACCACGATCTAATGCTGGAGATGGAATCGGCCGAAATGAATATGACCGAGAATGCCGAGGAAGATCCCATCACGGCAAACGAAGGACCTGGAGTTAAGAAGAATCGCTTCTTCAAGGCCAACACCCCATTGGTTTCCAAGATCATCAAGAACCAGCTTGTGCATGTTCGAAAAGGATGCCTTTCTGATCCCCCGAAGGAAGTTTTCCCTATGCACATTATCAATCCGTACACTGACAAGTCCTTTTCTGTCCGCTCTACTGGATCTAATGAGGTGGATAATAGGATGCTTAATCGCTTATTGGATACCCCTTCCATCGGAATTGCAAGAGCAGAACGTGTGATAAACGATCACTACGAAGTGGCAAACGAGAACAAGGCTGTGAAACGTCTTGGGCAGAAGGCCACTCTCACAACACGTTCTGAGAAGCTCTATTTCCTAAACTCGGTTGCGAAATCGGCTGGGTTTTCTGAGGAGGAGCTACCGGTCAAAGTGTCTTATCCACCCAAGTGTCCAGTCAAAGAGTACATTGGGCTTAACTACGAGTTGCCAGAGGATTTGAAGGCGGCAATGGATGCAGAGGAGAATGGCCAAGAGGATTTTGCTGACTACCTAGCGGGCATTTCCTTTTCAGATGAAGACGTTCCAGTAGATGCGGGTCGGTACGCGGCTGAGAATAATGACCAAGAAGCAGCGGTGGAAGAGATACTTGTCGATCCAACAATTGACTCTGAGCCACTTCCTTTTGAAAACCCAGAGGTCTCACGTGCAGTGAAGCACCACTTGCCATCCATTAATCTTGGCGAAACAACGATGCAAACATTCACAAGATTGACTCAAGGAGCACCATGGGTTCCATTCGCTGACCCAAAAGAACCAAAGAGTCCTGTTGATGAGGCTGAATTTGATCTGTTTGAGAGTCTCCGTGGCAGCTATGACAGAAATGGCGGGCTCTACGGACCACGAGGGTATCATGCTTTCCAGTCTCGCTGGGATTACGAAGTTGCCAACTCCCACACAAGGTACTTTGAAGCAATCGCGAATGGGTTTCCACCACCACCGCTCATTCGGCGAAAGACGTACTTGCAGCTGCAGCAGCACTATGATGCGTGCAACGATCGCTTGCGTACTGCTTTGTTTGTTCGTGAAAATGACAAAAACAGAGAGGAACTTGAGCGAGCTCTTGCACAAACACGTCGCCGACTTGCACCACAGCAAGAGGCAGCTGTTGCGTCGCCAATCCGCTACAACCACAACACAGGAATGGCTCCATTCGGAAATCCCACAGTTGTCAATACAGGTGTTGCGGCCAACGCAATGGAATACTCCCAACAAAGCACTGGTGGGGCACCCTTCAACCTTCGTCCTGCTGTGTCCATGGTATCGCCAATGCAGAATCCACGCGGTTCCAACTTCAAAGGTCGCCAATTCTGTGTTAAGTGTGGCTTCTCCAAGAGCGAGCACTTGTCGCAAGGTGTGACCTTTGGCAACGCGTGCACCGGAAACTGCAATCATGAAGAATGCTCCAAGTGCTTGGAAAGGTTGGAATTCCACGAGATTGGAAAGGTTGGCCCTTATTGTAAGGCATCGGCAGCACCATCAAGTCAGTTCTCTGCTTGGTGGAAAGACACTACTGCTCCAAGCGGAGCTGACAAAGAAAATGGAACTATTAATTAAATGGTACGTGTTGCGTTGTTGTTGTTGTTGTTTCGTCCATCGCGATCTCGCTCTATCGTGATCTCGCTCACTCCTCAGCAGAGCGAACAACCTCGGGAGTCACCTCTGACATGTTTTCATCCATGTAGTCCGACACAGAGTCCTCAGCGGAATGCTGGGGGTAGGTAGCAGCCATCAAGTGATTCCTTACGAACGACGTGCTGCTTGTCGCCAAAAAGAAAAAGTCGTCGGTTTGAACGTAGAGTAAATCAAAATAGTTATGCCACTGTTGCACAACGAACCAATTGAAGTCCAATCTAGTTTGAACATACAAGGAGAGGATGTACCTGAAGAGACATTTCTTGTTGATGCCGTTTGGGTGGGGAGTTGGGCTTAAGATGGACGAAAAGAAGTTGACCACATCGTAGTACCAACGATGATCCATCGTGCGTCCCCAATAATACATGCAGTCAGCAATTTCACAATAGTCTGGTGGGAGAGGAATGGCCTGACCTTCAATAATCAGATGTTGCAAGTCCTCCAAAAGGAACGTGCTGGCCGGAACCAACTGATGACGAGAAGGACAGAAGAGAGGCTTTTCACCACGGTTAAACATCAACACCCAACGAGTATGAAATGATGTACGGGTAGCTTTGACCGAGTTAAAGGGGAACATATACCCGTTCTTGGCTTGGAACACCTTGAAAGCTTCTTTGGTACACACAGAAGACGGCATGGCTGCTTGAAATTTGGCGAAAGTGTGGAGTGCTAGAGATAGTCGTTTACGAAAACGTGCTTTTCAAAAAATGAGATGTGTGCGAGAAATGTGAACAGTCTACGTGACACCTCTGTACATTGTGTACTAGATCGATTAGCCAATAGGTGCGCAGCTTTCCGTCGAGTGATTCTTTTTGGCTCGACTCAATAACTTCTTGAAAGGATCAGGGTAGATCCACAAGAGATGCATGAGGATGGCCACAGGGCCTCCTCTGCTTACAGAGTTTCCAGCTCCTGGAGCTGGTACCGATGTTATTCTATCACGATGCTGGGCAGCCTAGCGAATGCTATCAGCTTACCTCTCAATGC